GTGGATGTTCTCGAACCTCCGCTTACACCGGGACCGGTTGAAGGGGGACCGGCTGACGGGATTTTGCGTCTTCCAAGGTCTGTGTGGATTCGGGAGCAAATGTTGGACGATTCTTTGGTGTCGTTACGGAAACGAACGGAGAGGGCGGGTAAGGAAGTCGGTGCGGGTGGTAATTCGGAAACTGCTCTCCGAGATGGGTTACTGATGTGGAGGGAAGGGATACAGGAACACTGGCGTCTCGTTGTGCCCGCGTCATTGCGCTATGAGCTGATTAGATCTTTGCACTGTGACACACTTTTACACCTGGGGGTGCAGAAAACCCTATTGACGCTGCAACGAGACTATTATTGGCACGGCATGACGACGGATGTCGTCGGTCACGTTCGCGCGTGTCCCGATTGTGCCCGCCGTAAGCCGCCTAAACATCCATATGTTCCGCCGATACAATCGATTAAAGTATCTCGGGTTAATGAGCTGGTGGCGTTAGATATTTTGGGACCCTTTCCGCCATCAGCTAAAGGGAATAAGTATTTACTGGTGGGGGTGGAGTATCTCTCTCGCTGGCCGATGGCCTGGCCCTTGCCTGACCAGTCAGCGGCGTCTATCACTGACGCCTTTCTATTTGGGTATGTAATGGACAAAGGGGCTCCGGAGAGGCTCCTTACGGATCAGGGACGTAACTTTTCGTCTAAATTGTTGGGGGAGGTGTGTGCGGCTCTTGGAACTAAAAAGATACGGACGTCCCCCTACCACCCGCAAACGGATGGTATGGTGGAACGGTTGAATCGGACTCTGTCCGCCATGCTGTGCCATACAGTCGGGGAAAACCAATCTGATTGGGATTTGCATATCCCTGGGGTGCTTTCGGCGTATCGCATGACGCCGCACGCGGCTACTGGATACTCGCCGTTTTTCCTTATGTACGGCCGTGAGAACGTACCGCCGATTCATGACCAGTTGGGAACCGGTGCGAGGGGGCCTGTTAAGCCTCTTCCTGAGTATATTAAGGACAACGTTCGGCGTGTCGCTGAGGCGAGGGAAAATGCCCGCATGGCTACTGCCAAGGCTCAGGCCAGGAATGAGCGGTGTGCCCGACGTTCAAAGGGGGAGTGTCCCTGGAAAAAGGGGGACCTGGCCTGGCTTCATTGCCCACAGGTGCGGCCAGGTACATCTCCTAAATTACATCGACCTTGGCAGGGTCCGGTCCGCCTCATTGAGGTTCCCAACCCACAGTCGGCGCGTGTTCAGGTTGGTGCACGGCGTTGGTTCGTGCACACGTCCCGGTTGAAGCCATACATTGCCCCACGGCCGGATGCGTCATCTCCCTAAGTTGCCTTGCCGGGGTCTGTTGCTGCCGACTCGACCTTGCCTGTGTCTGCTGACCTTGCGAGAGCGCCTGTCGTACCCTTCACAGACAATCCGGCCGTGACAGCGCAGGGAGGAGGACCTTCCGCTTGTGGGACGCCGACCGGAGCCGCAGAACCCACGGGACCTGCAGCTCTTCCTATCCCTCCGCGGACGCGAGTACGGGATGTTTCTGGACGCGAGCGGGACAGTGGCGGGCCTCCAATGGCGACGGAAGAACTTGCGCCCGTCGCCCCTAAAACCCTTCCACGTTCCCGCTCGGCGGGTGGGCCGCCGACCGTCCGGGACGGCCCGGCTACCCGTACTCGCTCGAAATCCCTCACGTTTCGTTAGATTGTGTTGTGTTGTGTTATTGTTATAATGTTCTTCAATGCTTCGTGTCTTTTTGCGTGTTGGCCCTTTACACCCGCATTGCTTTTCAGGTTGCAATTCAGCCGAGGTCGGCTGGATTTTCTTTAGGGGGGAGGGTGATGTAATGCGGTTGTAAACGGCCCTTCTGAGGCGCCGTCAGGGGGGGAGGAGTTAGGTCACGTGGGGGGCAGAGGGGTTGAGTATAGAAGGAGGGGAACCGGAAGAGCAAGGGGAGTGACGGGGAACCAGGAACAGAGGAAGGCCACGAAGGGCGAAGCGGGGTGTGGCGAGATCGCCACGAACACGGGGGGAGCGAGGATCGGCACCGTTGGCCAGCGGTGACCGACCCGAAGCAGCGAGGAGGCTGCAGTCAGCAGCGGGGCTGCACAGAGAGGGTGGGCAGCGGGTCTGCATACAGTGACAGCCAGAGGGTCTGCACATAGGGGTAGCAGCGGGAGTCTGCATAGGGGTAGCAGCGAGTCTGCAGGGAGGAGGTTACAGTAGATGAAGCAGAGAGTCAGAGGGGAGAGGAAGCTATAATAGCAGTGAATAGCCGGGGGCTACAAATACAGGAGTTATAACAGAGTGCCGTGTGGGTAAAGACGTGAACCTGAATAAAGACACGAAGACAGAGAGAAGTGTTCGAGTCCTTTTATTACACTACTGTAAAGTAGAGCCGAAACGAGGTTGCAGCGGGTTCGTTCTTTATTTCCTCCCTCAGTCCACACTAGTCTCCAGCTTTCTCGGTCTGTTCCCCGCCAGTTCTCCTTTTGCCTCCCTCAGCCCCCCTCCTATCTCCTCGCCTGCTCCTCCCCCATCCACTGTTCCCACTCCACTGTGCCCCTCCTTTTGGTGGGGATCCTTACCCCTGACATCCCTTACATCACCCCCGCCCCCCCCCCCCCTTGGAAAGAAAAAAAACGTCCTCGGTTCTACCTACCCCTCGACCATTGCAGTCTCCCCATGAGCCCCCCCCCCCATTTACAGTGACAACAGCCCTTAACACCCCAGCAACCATAAAATTCAATATATCAACATCAATTGAATGTCTAGATTAGAAGTTTTCGTGACTCCAGGGATCCATACTCTTTGGTTATTTCGGTAAAGTCACGTAGGTATAAAATAAGTTAAATGAAATCACGACGTTTTAGGCGCAACACAAGCGTCCGTCATCAGGTGGGACAACCACAGCAAGAAACAATTGCTGAAGTGGGCAAAAGGGCTGCTGCAACAAGAGGCCATATAGGCAAGAGACGGGGGTGGGGGGAGGAGCCAGGGAGGAGCGACAGGGAGGGTGGGAGTGTGCGGTAGGGGGAGTGGAAGAATGGTCAGTGAGCTCATGGTCAGTGGGCAGATCAGCTCGATGGTAGGTCCTGGTGTCAAGGACATGGACTCACATCCGCTCTACGTCACTATATAGATCAGCAGATGTTCTTGCTTTGACCTCGTGTGCATCTATGATGTTGTGTGGATGCGTCGATGCTGGAACAGCATATTGGTAATTACAAGCCCATGGGCTGCACAAAAGTATAGCAGCCTCCCACCATTATTATTGAGCTGATTCAGACCAGGTTCCAGCATCATGATCAACTTGGGCATTAAAGTCACCCAACAGGATGACTCTATCGCGAGCCAGCACCTGTGACAGGAGGTCATAGAAAGCATCTGATTCATCTGCCTTGCCTGCATCGTTCCACTGATGTTCATCTTCAGTGGGGGAATAAATAACCACGACAACCACTCATCACCTTTGGTTGATGGGAAAACGAACCCAAAGTAGCCTGGGGCATATAGCTTCCCATACCTCACTGCCACGCTCCCATGCCCCCTTCCGTTTTGAGTTCAGAAAAAGAGTCACTCCCTGTTGTTTGGTAGTATCTTGCCCGGAGTAAAGGACTGTCCATCCCTCATGGTGGCAGGAGCCAGAGCTGGCCCACCAGACCTCCTGAATACCGCAGAGATCCAGGCAGTACTGGTTCAGCGCCCGATAGAGGAGTGACAGCCTCTCCTCCGCAGTGAGCAGTGGCTTTTTGTTGTTTCTGGAGGAAATCCAAGTTAAGGATTCAGTCTCCTGGCGCCGCCAAATGGGGTTTGACCAGGAAATATCATAGACGCGTGTCCCCTCGGGGCCTCTGACACAAGCTTAGTTGGATATTTTTATGTGGTTTTGTGGTAATTACATTTAAGGTGGAGGAGTTACTAGTCCCTCACACCAGTCCAAAGCGCCCTTTTGGCTACTGTGGTGGGTACAAACACCATGAGGGCAATGGCCAATTTAAATTGGCCCTACTCCCATCGAACTGCTCACCACAGCATTACCGTCCGGCACCAACGAGGAGGTAGGGGGTTGTTTTGCCGGACAACAGGCACACGCACAGCGATTGACACACCTTTACCCATATATTCACAGAGAGACCCACAGATCACAGAGTGGCCCATAGATTCAGAGAGACCCACAGACTCAAACAGAGAACCATAGCCTGACACAGAGATCACATCGACACCTGGAGACTTACACTTAGCCATATACATTTAAAGAAACCCATAGACTTACAGAGACTCACAGACTCACACAATGAATCAGATAGAGATCCACAGACAAAATAGAGAGAGGCACGGTGTCCAATATAGTCACAGAGAGACTTATTGACTCAAACATAAACCTACCGACTTAGCTTGACCCATAGATCCGCAGACTCACAAAGAAACCTACAGACTCATACAGACACACACGGACTAACATACAGAGACCCATAGATTCACAGAGAGACCCACAGATAAGTATAGACTCAGGTAGAGACTCATATACTCCCATAAACACCCATAAATTCATAGAGCCCCGCAGACTCATCCAATACATAAAAAATCGAAGACAAAGACCCCCGTATAGTCTGAGCAGACTTAAGGCAAGTGCTGTTAGTGAGCACCTATGAAGGCCGGCATAGCACACGAGGGGATGGGTGGCCAAAACCACGCCCGGTCGCCTTTGTTTCCCCAGTGGTCATGTTTAAACACCACACCAGGTATTCATTTCAGGTTGAGTCAACCTAGGGGAGGCCCAGGACTGGTCTAGATAATCATCACTGGTGTTGGCTATGGGCGGCAATCACACTCGGGTCGTCGAGTTCATAGCACAGCGTGTTAACCACTGCACCACCGCTCCTCATATAGTCCACACAGAGACCTACACAGAGACCCGTAGACTGGTGAAGACTGAGACGCGAATCGACGGGGCCTCTACATTGCACAGAGCTGACGATGCCGAGTCCCCCACCCTGCCCCAGGGGAGACGGTGGAGATGATGGGCAGCAGCGGCGCCCTCTCGTCTCTCCATTCGGTGCCCAACGACACTGCCATCACGTCCACGTTCATCATTCACGCCCGCGCAGGGGAGGCCGTGAAGATCAAGTTCACATGGTTGAGGTTAGCCCAATCCCTGCCGTGTCACCAGGCCTTTCCCTATTGTTTTCATCCGGCTCTGTCCAAAATCGGTTCCTAAATCTGTCCCCATTGTGTCACAAGGTCAATTCCAATCTTTCACATGAGGGCCGTTCCAAGTTTCTCCCAATAGCATGACTAGGTCTATCCAAATTATGTCACTAAATCTGCCTTAATTTGTGTCAAGCATTTGTGGTGAATTCATAAAGGGCAAGTTTTTTCTTACTTGCTATGTCTATTGGGGATTTGCTGAACATATTTGGTTGTTTTTATTATCCAAATGAGCAACAGATTGTTTTACATTCACAGCTGTGGGACAGCAAAATTAATTTAGCAGATTCCCAGTCAGATGGAATTGAGCTCTTGGGGCTTATTTGCATGTTGAACTTCTTTCGCACCGTACTTAACCAACCATGCTAATCGGAGGTGTGGGGGAAGGACAACAAACTAAACACGGGCAAGATGTGAGGATGGGGGATCAGCTCTCAAAACCCCCCGGCTCATCTTGCACCATGACGATTATAATTATCTAAGGATTTATTTCAATCCACTGCCTGAGTGAAGGCTTCGCTGTACATTGTCATTTAAAGGGGTTGTTTGTTCAATCCCCACCATGCTGATCAGTTTGAATTGGTGAAGAAGAGGCCCATGACCAGTTCTATTTGTATCACGTCACTGATATTAGCCGTGACCAGGAATGAAACTCAGGTCGTTGGGTTCACGGTGCATTGGGCTAAAAAGAGTGGCATAGCTCAGTGGGCCTTACCTGGTAAAAAAAAGTGTAAGTGTATAGTTTATAGTGTTGCTGGGTGTAAGTCGTAAAGGGTGGTGTCTCCATGTTTCTCTGCGTGTCCATCCCAGCTGTTCCTTGAAAAAGAGACTCTTGACCTAAATGAGCTCATTCCAGGTTAGAAATATAGGCAATTCATGAATGTGTTCGTGTGCTGCGGTAGTGTAGCAGTTAGCGCGCTGCACTACGAACCCAGCAAGTTGAGTTCAATTCTCGCTCGCGGCCAACACCGATGACGATTATCTGAATTGGTACTGAAGAGACAAAGGCGGCCGGGCGCGGTGGTGGCCATCCACCCCCTTCGTGTGCCATGTCGGCTTTCATAGGTGCTCACTAGCAGCACTTGTCCCAAGTCTGTTAAGGCTATACGGGAGATCTTTGTCTTTGTGTTGCTATAATGTCTATTCTCTCCCTACTTTTGCTGGTTCAGCTTGCTGGATGACTTGATGTGTGCCAAAGAGAGCCTGGAGATCTGGGATGGAGAAGTTGACCAACAACGAAATTCCCTGGCTTTGCTGTGTGGAACTGGCCCGGAGTCCGTGCCTCCACGCAGCATCAAGTCGAGTGGAGAGAACATCACGCTGGTGCTAAAGTCCAATGGGCCGATGGAAGGTGAATTTGTTAGCCATGAGAAGTGACAGCAGAGGGCACCTCATTTCCAAATGTGCACAGTAATGTGTGACACACACTCCTGAGATCAGAGGTTGAATAGGTCGTGCACTGATGCGAATGCATTTCATTTGGCCATAATTACAGGCGGTACCCGCTTTCACTCACCCACCCACCCACTCACCCACTCTCTCATCCACTCACTCAGTCACCCACTGACTCATTCACTCACTCACCTAATCACTCAGAACCAGGGTAAACAGCCAACATTAGGCGGGTGGTGAAAGTCAATTTAAAGAGGTGAGTTTTCAGGACAGACTTAAATATATCTAACGATTCTGATTGACTTATTGGCAAAGGAAAGACGTTCCAATGTTTGTGAGCCACAGTGGAAATAGTGCGATCAATGGTTACTGCACTGTGCTACGAACCCGGCAACCCGGGTTCGATTTCTGCTCACGGCCACCAGTGACGATAATCTGAACTGGTGCGCTGTGTAGTTAACATTGCCACTCGGGAGACAAAGGAGGCCGGATAAGCTTGGTTCTGGCCACCCGCCCCCTCGTGTGCTATGCCGGCCTTCATAGATGCTCACTAACAGCACTTGCTCCAACAGTCTGTTAAGGCTAAGACATGAGCCCCAGTTGCATGCAAAACTATACAACACATAACAATGTGTGGTATGTATCTATGTGTGAGTCTATGGGATTCTGGGGGAGTCTGTGGGTCTCTGTGTGAGTCTATGGGTCCATGTTTGAGTCTTTGGTTCTCTGTGTGAGTCTGTAAACCACTGCGCAAGTCTGAAGGTCTCTGTGTTAGTCTATGGGTTTTTGTGTATGGGTTTATGTGTGAGTTTGTGGGTTTCTGTGTGAGTCTATGAGTGTTTGTGTGAATCTGGGTCGTTGTGAGAGTTTGTGTCTCTTTGTGAGTCTTTGTCTCTGCGTGAGTCTGTGGGTCTGTGTAAGTGTTTTTCTATTTGCGAGTCTATGGCGCCGTGTGTCAGTATTTGGGAGGGTTCAAGTCACAACCATGCTCTGTTTTAATTCCCGTGCAGGAAGGGGCTTCAGCCTGCTCTACAAATCGGTCACCCCAACGTGGCCGACAGGATGTAAGTGTCTGCTTAATTAATCTCTTGCTTTAACGATCCCTCGTGGTCACCTTGGATGGGTGCCCTCATCCTGGGAAGGTTTCCTGGCTTAAGTGAGGCGTTGAGATGAGTGCTCTGGGATGTTGAGACCTAATGGACTACTTTCTCTGTTCTTTCGGTAAAGTCACGTAGGTAAAAAATGAAATTAAAATTAATAAAAATAAAATAATAAAATCACGACGTTTCGGAGGCAACACAAGTCTCCGTCATCAGGTGGGACCGTCACAGCCAGATTTGCTGTATATAACATTATGTAATTAGTGTTAAGCCGTGTACAACACAAGACACAAACTAGACTTAAGCTCGAGATGGTAAAAAACTAAATACCTTCGGAGGAAGCTCATTTATATATATTTAGTAACTTACTTTCATTTACTCATACTCTTTGGTTCTTTCGGTTTGAAATGGGTGTAGCCCAAGGGTCATAAAGAAGTGGGCGGGGCTAGGGATGTTAATATGAGAAATTAGCATGTAACTGTAAGATAGGAGGAAAGCAGCCTCCTCGACGAGGGAGTGCAACTCAATGGGTGCAATCCAAAGGGCATGTGAGTATAAGAGTGCAATGCAAAGGACATGTGAGCATGAGAGATCTCAGAGAGAGGCATAGAGAGAGACATAGAGTCAGAAATAACAGCTGACAGGCAAGTAGGATGGAAACATCACAGTCAGTTAAGATTTTACCTAGTTAATAACGTCCTTCCCCATCCTCTCGGTTGAAGTTGTGTCCGTGTTTATATATCTGGATGGCTTCATGAACAAATCTCTGAAGGTAGCCGGTAAGTTTGCAGAGTACCTCCGTCTTGGAAAAATACATTTTTGTTGTGAGCCGACAGCGTTAAAACAATGATCAGCAACGGCAGAGGTATTAATCCTACCGTGTTTTAGATCTGCCTTGTGTTCACGAACGCGGTCCGAGACAACTCAGTTTGTAGACACCAGGGCATTGCATGTCAGGAACCACATTTTTTACAGATGGGATTGAATCACGGATTTTGTGTACTTTGTTGAAATGAACCTGGATCTTGTGTTTGTTTAAGATTTTGGAAATCTTTTTGGTAACCCCTGCTATGTACGGTAAAATGATGGTTTTGGTTGGATCCTCAGAAGGTTGTCTCGAGCATAGCTGGGGAGAGAGCTTTGCAGATTGTACGGTCCGATTATCCGTTCATCCTGAGGGCTTGGTGTACGTACTCCAACTCACTAGCTAGGAGGTGCTGGTCGGAGATGCAACGGGCTCTATGGTGTAGTGTTTTGATGAGGGAATTCTTTGGGACTGGATGGTGGTGGGAGTCAGGCTTTAGATAGGCATCCGTGTGGGTGGCTTTCCTGTAGACCGAATGTCCCAACGAGCCATCAGGTCTCTTCTCGATCAAAACATCCAGGAATGGTAGCTTGCCATCCTTTTCCACTTCTATGGTGAATTTGATAGATGGGTGTATGGAATTTATGTGGTTGAGAATTTCGTTCAGTGCTGGCAGGTCATGTGGCCAGATGACGAACGTGTCATCTATGTATCTCTTCTACAAGAAAGGACGTAGGGTGGATGTCTGGATAGCATCTGTCTCAAATTTCTGCATGAAAACATTCGCTACCACTGGCGATAAGGAAGAACCCATTGGGGTACCCTCATTTTGTTTGTAGAATGTACCATTCCAGGTAAAGTATGTGTTGGTAAGACAGTGCCTTACCAAAGTTGGTGCATCTGGATTCAGTCCTTGTTGGACCAAGTCTTCAATGATTGCAATGGTGTCAAGTACAGGTACATTGGTGAACAGAGAGACTACAATGAAACTGACAAGCAAAGCATCCGGAGACAATGAGATGTCCTTGATTATAGAAACCAAGTGAGCCAAGTTAAGCACATCTGAGGTGGACTTGCCCGTGAAAGGAAGCACTGCAATTGTTTGTGTATTGTGTTTGTTGTTGTAACTTGCTGACCCCGTGCCTCTGTGGGGGATTACGCCCACCTCCCCGCTCCCCGTGAGTGGGCAGGGCGCGACGTCCATCTCCTCCACTCCCCCCTCCTCCTCGGCCGCTTCTCGCCAGACCTCCCCGCGCCAGCGCCCTCTTTGAGGGACATCGCTCACTTGCTGGCTCACCACCGCTCTGGGATTATTACGCGTGCGCCCCTATGGGCACTCTTCACTCCACAACACGCACGTCTACACTCACGGCGGTCCACCTGCCCGCGCTGATTGCACAATATACGTGTGTGTCCGCTCTCCCTGCGGGCTGGAGGCTAATCCGTCGTGTCAACACGGCGAATGGCCACGGGTGGTTACTGATTAACCCGCTGGTAGCCACAGAGGCTCTGCAGCTGTTCGGATATTAATTAATTAATCTGCGCTCGCGCAAAACCCACCCACTGATTTTCTCTACGCGATTCACGCGCGTTTTTCGCCGTTAATACTGCGGTTCTTGCACGTACACGTGCTGGCGCGGGCGAAAGTTAATATTTTAATATGCGCGCGCGTCATACACACACTGATTTATATCACCCACACACAGCAGTGCGCCAATCGCTGTTCCCCCACTGTTCACACACACGTACAACGCGTCAACCATCAATCTGTACTAAGGTTTTATTCTCGAAGCGAATAGTGAACCCCTGTTCATGGCCCCCGGCGAACACCCTACGGGTAGCGCCTAGCCTCTTATTTCCCACCCTTCGCGATGCACACCTATCTCAGGCTAGGTCTAATTGGCGAACTGGGCTGAATCGACCAACTGAACGATCACCCACCTCGCAGACACACTCACGGCGTCACATGGACACGGTGGGGGTTGGGGAGGACGCTGGACAGCCGACGATTCACAGCTACACCCGGCAGGCGTCACGCGGACGCTGAGGGTGGCTGGGATTCACCACGGTCGCAGGAGAACTCTCCTCTAAATTCGCTCTCTCCCTTCCCTCTTATCCTCTCAGAGCCCGTTAATCCCCGGGTAACATCATGTCATCCTGCGCGGCCAATTGAGCGCTTTACCAGCCGAGTTTTGAACGCTCTGGCCTTTATGGGGGGGGGGCATGACGTCATCCTCCCCCCTCTCCCCCCTTTTCATTGTTCCCGTATCTGCGCTCCTCATCTCTGATTCACAGGTAATTCCCTGTGTCTCTCTCTTAAATCGCTCCTCCCAGGGCGCCCAGGGATTTCCCCCATCCCACTGTTTGCACTGCCCGTAGAGTGTTTGCCCTCAAGGCCCCACCTACCCTGTTGTGTATGCTTCATCGTGGCCAGCCTGTAAAGCTCTATGTGCCCCTATGACTTTTAAAGTTGATTTTAGGGGGGCCGCCATGTAATCCGACCTGGGGGGGGGGGGGGGTCGGCCAATCTCCTGGCAACGGGAAACCGGGGGACATCCCTGCTCGGAGCCCTTCGGATGAAAACCCGTGTTGTCAGGCACCCCCCCCCCCCCCCATCGAGACCCTACGTGGGTGCGTGGGTGTGTTTCATGGGGGTGTGTGTGCGTTAATGTGGATGGCGACGTTGGTGGAGTTGCTCCGCGGCTGTGGCACCACTCCCCTACTGAACATCTGTGAAACCGATCATCATAGCTCCATCGGATTCCTCCTCGACCAGTATTTTGCTGCCGTTATCAATGTTCACGTGACGATGAGTCTTTTCGTTCAGCTATCATTTGTGATAGTCAGGTCGCTTCTGGAAAATAAGTTAATAGCTCAGTGGGCTTTGCTTCGTAATATAAACATAGTTTAGTTTTATTTGGAAATCTTTTTTTTATGATTTGTTTACCTTTACTATACTTTGCACACCTATTGTGTGTTTGTATTGTGTTTGTTTCTGTAATGTTCAGACCCCGTGCCCCTACTGGACATCTATGAAAAATATATTTACAGCTCATCGGATTCCTCCTGCAGTATGAAGACTGATTCAGATTCATAGTCGACTTCAGTTGCAAAGGGGCGTCGGCTTTTGTCGCTGCGCTGTCTCCCACGCGATTTGCTGATGTGTGACCGCGCCGCCTGCATCCGCTTTTGGTGGTGCAGTCTGTGGAGAGCGGTAGTGTAGCGGTTAGCGTGTTGCGCTTTGAACACGGCCACCCGAGTTCGACTCCCACTCATGGCCGACACCGATGACGATTAACTGAACCGGTCCTGGGCCTCACCTTAAGTCGACTCAGCCTCAAATCAGTATCTGGTGCGGTGTATTAACAGCGCACCTGGGGAGATAAAGGCGGTAGGGCGTGGTAAGCCGTACCGGCCTTCATAGGTGCAAGCTAACAGCACTTGTCCCAACAGTCTGCTCAGGGGCGGTTTTTTCATTAGGGCGATTGGGCGACGCACCACCAATGTCATTCAACCACAGAGTCACGCTAGCCGTCACTGTGCCTCTGGATATAGTCCAATCAGCGTCATGTCACGTTCTGTGGAGTACCGTCTCTTTTTGGGCGATTTCACTCTGGCTGAGAATCGCCCCGAGTGGCCCCATAGACTTACATTCAAAGATGTTTTTTTTCGAACGGGGGGCGCGCCAATGCATTCTCTATGGCTTCCGGGAGGGCTCGCCCTAACGTGCTTACGTCATCATACGTAAGCACGTTTCATCCAACAATATAATTTGTCGCCACCTAGTGGAATCTTTAATAAAATAAACTTGAGTGGATTGTATTAATAGTGAGTATAGAAACAAACAAGATGTATTGTAAGAGTCACTTTATTTTTCATTAATATTAAAGAAGTGAAGTTGCCTTTACATGCTTAAGCTGTTAATTTATCCATTGCATGGGTGGACCTTATCCTTATCAATCATCCAGACATTTGCCCCCCCTGAGAGATTTTGCAGGAGCCGCCACTGAGTCTGCTAAGTCAACACGAGGGATTTTTGTCTTTGTTTTGCAGTCTGTGGTATCGCGACCATTAACGCGGCAAACCCTTGGCTGGCCTACATCAACTCCGACGTGACTAACTGCTTTGCCACGCTGATCAACAGCTGGTGGCTCCTGACGGCGGCTCACTGCTTCTCCCGTCCAATGTGAGTACCATCCGTGCCGGCTCTACTCCTCCTCCTCCTCAGCAGCTGCTGCCCTGTCCAAGAGTCACGACGGAGCAGAACCAAGGCACATTCTCTTTAGCAGTGTAAATATATACAGGTGGGGTGGGGGACATACACGCTGCCTCCCCTCATCTGCCTGCTCATTGTCTTTGAAACTGATTGGCCAGTACCAGAGACAGCCTCCTTTTTGTGGCCTCTTTTCACCGGTGTTTACGTCAAAAGGTAAACAGCACAATGACAATGCAAACAATCATTGATACCAATGTACGCATTGTCCTTAAAACTGATTGGCCTGCACCGATTCACCAGAAACAACCTCCTCTATGACCTGTCTCACCGGTGTTAGACCAGAGAGAATTATACCAAAAGCCAACAATGCAAATATTACAGCATTCGCAGCTCGGGTTAGTTATACTGGTTGGAACCTCCTGGTTACACCAGCCCACAGGGGATTATTGTATCCGTCGTGCATGGGAGGGGTGGGGTTGGGTGAAGAGGGGAGGGTGGGGAGGGGCTGGGTGGGGAGGGAGGGGCCGGTGGGGAGGGTTGGGTGGGGAGGGTGGAGCTGGGTCGGGAGGGTGGGGAGGGGCTGGGTGGGGAGGGTGGGGAGGGTGGGGCTGGGTGGGGCTAGGTGGGGGGTGGGAGGGGTGGGGATGGGTGGGGAGGGGCTGGTCACCCCGTGGTGCCCTTATAAAAATAAACGTTTAACTTACTCACGCCGGCTTGTGCCCACCCTCACAGTCAGCCATATTTGCGGAATACACCACGCCGCCGTTGACCGATGGCCATTGACCGAGCAACCCAACGTTCCTACCAGCTCCCTCCGCAGGAATGTGTTATCTAAAAGACCCTTATAAGGCAGTATCAAGATAATTAAAACATAATAGGCATTCGTGGCGTTTGAAGGCGAGTGGGCCGACCGCTACTGCTATTACAATAATCTCCAGCACTTTGTAAATATACTGCTCATGGTTGAATGGCGACTCGCACCATTTTGGTCATCGAGGTTGCTTAAGCAATCTTTCCCACGTGAGTGAACATGTCTCGGCGCTGTGGTGACGAGATGTGAACTACCTCGCCTGCTATACGGGAGGTCGTAGGTTTGATCCCGACCCTGATGCCTACTGTATATCTGGTGTTTGCATATCTCTCCCCGTGGTCACGTGGAGTTTTCTCCGGGTCTTCCAGTTTTTCCCTCCACATTTAGAATCAACATGACACATTTAGAGTATTTGGCGGCTATAAATTTGCACGTGATGAGCCACTTTGTTGAATCTATCATTTGTGGTGGCCAGGCCGCTTCTGGAAAAGAGCTACACAGCTCAGTGGGCCTTACCTGACTTTTGCCGGGCCCCGCACCGCCCTCTAGCGACGACCACTGCACACGGGTGACATGCTGACGACATCTACATCGGTGGAGTTAAACTGCCCTCGGCTGGCGAACCATGGCTGCGCTGCTCGACCGAACGAACCCCTCGCTCACTCGTTGTCTGTCGCAGGGATAACACGACGCAGCGGTCCATCCAATTCTTGCAATCGCGCGAGTCGAGGGACATCTTCAGGATTGTGTTCCACCCTAAGTCTCAGGAGGGCTCCTTGGACTACGACATCGTGCTGGTGCAGATGAATCAGCCGGTGTCCTTCAGCGAACACTTGATGCCGGTCTGCCTGCCCGAGGCCATCCAGCACCTGCCGCTGGCGGGGAAGATGTGCTTCATCGACGACGAACCCACCTTCGACATAAGTACAGCGGTGGCCGTCCTTCGGGGGAAGGGGGGGATTGCCCCCCAATTTAACATTACCCGAGGGACAGTGCATGCTCATGCGCGAGTCTCGATGGTTCCTCGCAAATGCTTTCAAACATTTTTACGTGCGATTTCCAAAAGTTGGGTGGATTGATTTGGCTGCCCGTGAGCTGAGGATGTCCCTCTGAACTAGTTATGAGCCACAGCATCTTCTGCGATGCGCGTTTGATTTGTCCGTTAATTTCTAACAATTTGTATCAAACACATTTAACCTTTTCCTATTCCGATGTGATGAGTAACAATGTCTTTAAAAATAATGGCGCTGCTACGCCTATTTAAATAAAATGAACGCTGAAACGCTTGCACATTCCGAGATTTGATGGTGAATGGGACACCCACCACCCTGCAACGTGCAGACATCTCGAAATGGAAAAGTGGAGCCATCGAGTTTCGTCTACAGGGCCATCTCTGACCTCATTTACACTGATTCTGTTATTAACATTATTCAAGTTGAAGTCTGAATGAAATGTTACAATATGAATGTTATTTTTTTTTATCAGTAATTTTGGAGTGATTTGATGTTGTCTGCTGGCTGAGTCGTCCTTGAAAAAAATAGCTGCTTAGCTCAATCGGATTTAATTAGTGGGAAATCAACTTCTATTCATTTTATAGCCATGGTCTGTCACATAGGACACTGTCTGATGCCGCTCGTATCACACCACATCTTGGCCAGAAGTAGTTAAAGCACTGTGTGCCTCAGCTTATGAATGTGAACCTCCCTGTATGTATGTACGCTGAACTTCTTTCGCACCGTACTAGATAACCGTGCAATTCGTCTGTACTGCATTCACACTCTCGGACTGAATGTGCCCAGTACAACATCTGTGCCTGTGACTGTATGAATGTTGAGCTTCTTTTGCACCGTCCGTGGCCGTTACATAAGACCAGCGGTCTCTGTTACTTCTGTGCTCATCAAGGCTGGCACAGCACACTGGGGGTAATTGCCCATGCAAATTCGACGCTTTTGTCTTCTCGGTGCCGATTCATTAACTTATTTATTTATTAGGTGTTGGAGCCAGCTGGCCCGCATTGGACAAAACCAAGCTCAACTTTTCACCCACGCAACTGGAGAGTAGCACAGACTAAGCGTTACTAACCTAACATTAAAACTACACAAAAACATATTTACGAATCAAAATGAATAGACAAATAACTATAAAAATAAGAATTAAAATAATTTTTTTTTTACTTAAAACACAGCAACTGAATGCCACGAGCAACAATTTTGCAATTTTAAAGCAGTTACTTGAACACCATCGATCTGGGTGAGGAGTACGGAAGGTAAAATGTTCGCGTAACGTCGAGTACTCATGTTGAGAATATTCAAACAGGGTAAAGAAGGCGTGCCCAGGTTGGACTCAGATATCAAAACGTCACTGAGGCAATGCCACCATCTGTGCAGCCAGAATGGAACCTGATGCCATGACGATGCGGTTCAACAAGTGTAGCTCCACTTGGTTGCACTCATTGCGCACAAAGTGCTTGCCACAAATGAAGCATAATGCCTTACTGATCTCGTCAATGAGCATAAACCACCATCACGTGAACTCCGGTCATCCTCGCAATGGCTTATGGCTAACCATAGAACGAAGACGGTCACCGCATTGCACGCTTCCAGATTCGCTTTTCTGGCCGTCTAGAACACTTTTCTTCTGATATTAGGAAGCCACGGGGAGCTGTGCACTTTTACATCGGCAATAAGTATTTATTTATTTATTTAGAACTGACTCCTTTTTTTGTGTTTAGTTTGTTGTCCTTACCCCATACCTCCGATTAGCATGGCTGGCGACATACGTTGTGAAAGAAGTTCAACGCACACACACATACATCGTCTCTGTTGGCGAACTACAGAGTGTGTGGCGTCTCTCCCCATCTTCCATTGTTTCTCTTAGCGTACTTAAAGATGTTCGTCCGCATCGTGAACCAGACGAGCTGTGCATCCGCATTCTACGGCGAGGCTCTGACCAGCCGCATGATGTGCGGCTTGCCCAGCTACGAGTACTACTTCAATGGCTGCATGCACACCGTGAGTGTCTGCCACTTTCATTGTCACACGCAGACTTCTGTTAGTGGAGACGGGGTGGTGTGGGGATGAAGAGGGGCTGGTGGACGAGGGAGCAATCACTAAGTGGGGTGGCACGCGTCGTGCCAATTGGGGGATGTCAGTAGAAGTCGATTGGGAGATCTGGCATGCTGCTCTCTCAAGCAAAACCACGGCCCTATCCTAAACGTCGTCAGCTCCGTATAAAACCCTGAGTCACCACCGTTTTGCAATTGGGTAGTGGAAATGCTTTGGACATTACTATAGCATGCAAGTGACCTCATTCCTATCCCGTATAATCGCAGTGCTTTTTATCGGTTATTAATAGACTCGGAAGAACAGAGTGAGAGTGAATTATTACCACTGTCAGTGGCAGCATTAAACGGACACCGGTGAAAGGTCGTGGTCTGTGTCAAAGTGCCCATCAGCACCGCTCATGTTTTTGCTTCTCAGCCTCACTCTTGCCTCCACAGAAACTTGGTGATGACGAGAACCTATGTCTGCAGCTATACCCTCGTCTTTAGAGCAGATGTCATGTGCCCTGAGTCACTAACTTCTGATAGCTACGTCACTTTGTTTGAGCACGCTATTGAAGATGACCGGCACAATAGCCACTCCAAAACTAAAGCAGCCTGGTTTCAGCACAGTTAAAATGTCATCTCTTGCTCTATCTTGTGCTAGCCTGGCGCATGCCTCTCTATTCACACTTTTATGCCTACTTCTGCATTGGAGTCTTCCGTCTCATAACACGATTTATAGGCATCATATCCAAGGTACACGATTCAACAATACGACTGTTTGACAGAATCTTCTGAAGCCTCTGTTGGCATCCAGAAGCACCACAACGGCCGTAGCTCACCCTCTTAAACTGGCTGCTGACCTATTTCCTCAATGGCATGTGCAGTTGTGTTTGGTGTCGCGCTTGTAAAAAAAAAATTCCAAACATGAGGACGCGTGGCTTCACGCCCACGGAGGGCCTCAACTGCAGTTCAAGTGAAGCCCCTTGCGTGCACTTTGTCCTCAGTATCTGCAGGCGCCGCCTCTGATGTGCTTGGGAGAGGATGGCTACTTTTACCTGACGGGGCTCGCAAGCTGGAATTCGCATTGTGAGACCCTGCCCACGGTGGGAGTCTTCTCCAGACTGGACAAGTTCCTTCCCTTTATTGAAGAAACGATCTACTTGAGCCAAACCTTGCTCGCGGATGTCTCCTCTGTGTACTGCTGCGTTGATACTTCTCTCGCATCTCTGTCCATGAGTGCAATATTTGCAATTTGTATGCTTATAAATCTAAGATAGTGAATGTGATGCATGCGTAGTTTCTTTGGAGCCAATTTAATCAAGTTACCATGTGGCTAAATATACCAATGAATTCAGTTTTTCAGCAAACTGGAATGGTTGACAATTTTATACATCTGTAGTGGTGGTTATTCACGCAGAAAACTTCTTCTTTTTCTCCTATGTCACTTTATTCGAAGCCTTTCACACGGATGCTCCTCACATTCCACCACACGTATTCTTCTCGTGAACTCTCCCTCTCTTGCTCCGTTAGCCTGCTACTCCACACTCTGTTAGCCTGTCATGGATGCTGTCTCTCTGGCTTCGCTAGTCTGTCCTCCGCCAGCCTCTTACTGTACACTCTGCTGGCTTCTCACTCCACTAACATTTTACTGAATCTCCTGCTAGCCTATTCTCCGCTAGCCTAACACACTCACTCTAAGGATTCCGCTAGCCTCTCACCCCGCTAGCCTCTTATGACACCTACACCTCCAACCTCGCCCGTGCCCCCAGCAGGGGTTCAGCCAACACCGCTGTGGAGGACGAGGTGTGGAGGGTGAGGTCCCGGATTTCTCTTGTGTCGACTCTTCACTTCTTCATCTCCAAACAACTCCCCCCATTGCGTCACACATTCCCTTATATCCCCCTCATCATTCAGTGCCCTCAGGTGGTCCTCGCTAAGCCGGCATCCTCCCGGCGTCAGTTGCACATGCTCCCCCCCTTATCGCCTCTATCTCTCGCTTCCATGGCGCCTACCCCATGTTTGCATTTGCAGCCAGCCAATCACTGCCTCTTTCCTTAATTGCTGGCGTCTCTCTCTCTGCGGTCTTCCAGGCCCCACGCTCGCACCCGCCCGTCCTGACCTAACCTCACTGTTTGCAGCCCCGTACATGAATGCAGCTGGTGTTTGCAAACCCTGTGCGCATTACGCCATCCATAATAAAACATTTGTTGGGTTACATCACGTAAGTATAAGTGTGTCATTAATCCATCATCACCTGACAGCCAACTAGTAAGGTTTGTCACGTAAACAAAACGTGCCAATTAGTTACTATATCAACACACCAGAGTGTTGGAGAGTAAACCCACTACAACATTTACAACTTGAGTACTGTGACATTTCGCTAGTGATTACAACAAACAGCTTCATCAGGCAATTTGCCAGAATTTGCTAATCGTTTTTAGTTTCGCAATGACTACGCCTTGTTGGGGCCTAGTCTCTGGCCCACCGGTGGGGATGCGACCACGCACAGTCCACTGATGGTTTCCCAGGGGAAGTCGCAGCCTCCTCCGGGGTGCCTTTGAGCCATAGGGAAAGTGTGCTGGAGCAAAACGCTCAAACCTCAAACAGCAACTCTAACAGAAAGATGGCCATAGCCCTGTCCAGGAGCCAGCATGAGAAGAGGGAACCCTTCCTGTAAGCATTGGCAAGTCTTCTTTCCGAATCTGTAGGTTTTCGAGAACGCACAAGAGGCCCCTCTCTACCCCGGATTTGAAACCTGCAAGAGTTGCCTGGCAGTAAAGTGACGTAGGTAGAATAAAATAATAATCGATCACGACGTTTCAATCGCAACACAAGCAATCGTCATCAGGTAGGACAACCACAACAAGAAAAAACTGCTGAAGTAGGGGGGGAGAGAGGGGGCAGGGCAGAAAGTGGACCCCGCGGCAGCACTTGGAGAGATTTGAGAGATCGGCTGCAGGGGGGGAGAGAGAACGGGGGAGGGGGGAGGAGGAGGGGCAGAAAGTGGACCCCGCGGCAGCACCCGGGTCACTGGAGTAAAGTGGACCACTGCGGCAGCACTAGAGAGAGCGGCTGCAGGGGGGAAGAGAGAAGGGGGGGGAGAGGCGGGGCAGAAAGTGGACCCCGTGGCAACACCCGGGCCACTGGAGTGAAGTGGACCCCGCGGCAGCACCCAGGTCACTGGAGTAATGGAGTAGAGATCGGAGAGAGATGCACAGAGAGAGAGAAAGACACATAGAGAGTCGGAAATAACAGCTGACATAGGCAGGTAGGATTTAAACATCACAGTCAGTTAAGACTTTACTTAGTTAATAACGTCCTTCCAATGATTGCTCAGCTTGTACCCATCTTTTCGGTTGAAGTTGTGTCTGTGTTTATATATCTGGATGGCTTCATGAACAAATCTCTGAAGCCGGTGGGGTTGCAGAGTACCTTCGTCTTGGAAAAGTCAATTTCATGTGAGCCCACAGTGTTAAAACAATGATCAGCAACGGCAGAGGTATTGGTCGTACCGTGTTTCAGATCTGCCTGGTGTTCGTGAACGCGGTCCGAGACATGTTTCGTTTCCCCAATGTAACTGCTGCCACAGTCACAACTCAGTTTGCAGACACCCGGGTATTGCATATCAGGAATCACATCCTTTACAGATGGGATAAAATCACGGATTTTGTGTCTGTGTTGAAACGAACCTGGATCTTGTGTTTGTTTAAGATTTTGGAAATCTTTCTGGTAACCCCTCCTATGTATGGAAAAGTGATGATATTGGGTGGATCCCACAGATGGTTGTCTCCTCATGGCTGGAGAGACAGCTTTGCGGATTGTACGGTCAGAATATCTGTTCATCTTAAGGCTTGGTGTACGTGCTCAAGCTCACTGGCTAGGTGATTCTGGTAGATGCAACGAGTCCTATGGTGCAGTGTTTTGATGAGGGAATTCTTCTGGGCTGGATGGTGGTGGGAGTCAGGCTTTAGATAGGCATCCGTGTGGGTAGCTTTCCTGTAGACAGTGTCCCAAATAGCCATCAGGTCTCTTTTCGATCAAAACATCCAGGAATGGTAGCATGCCATCTTTTTTCACTTCCTTGGCGAATTTGATCGATGGGTATATGGAATTGGTGTGGTTGAGAAATTGGTTCATTGCTGGCAGGCCATGTGGCCAGATGACGAACGTGTCATCTACGTATCTCTTCCACAAGAAAGGACGTAGGGTGGATGTCTGAATGGCATCTGTCTCAAATTTCTCCATGAAAACATTCGCTACCACTGGCGATAAGGGAGACCCCAATGGGGTACTCTCATTTTGTTTGTAGAATGTACCATTCCAGGTAAAGCCAGTGTTGGTAAGGCAGATTCAGTCCCTGTTGGACCAAGTCTTTAATGATTGCAATAGTGTCAGGTACAGGTACCTTGGTGAACAGGGAGACTACATAGAAACTAACAAGTAAATAATCTGGAGACAGTGAGATGTCCTTGATTAAAGAAACCAAGTGAGCTGAGTTAAGTACAGCTGAGGTGGTCTTGCCTTTGAAAGGAAGCAGGGTCTCAGACATAAATCGGGCCAGTTTGTAGGTGGGTTAGTTAATGGTGGAGACGATAGGACGGAGCGGGGTGCCTCCTTTGTGGATCTTTGGAAGGCCATAAAATCTGCACTCTACATAAACACACACGCGCAGTCTCCATGTGTGTCTACGTCGAGTGCAGTGGGAGCGGTGAGTGCGCAAACCGCTCCCAGCAAACCCCGAGTTCGAGTCCCGCTCTCGTCCACCACCAGACACCGAGCGGTGCTCGCGATTATCTGAACAGTTCCTGGGCGCTCCCCTAGGCCGTCTCGGCCTAAAATGAGCACGTGGTGCGGCGGTTTGCAGTAAACATCGTCACTGGGGGACATATAAAGGCGGCCGGGCGGGCGTGGTGGTGCTGGGCTACCCACACCCTCGTGCTGTCTTAATAGGCGCTCGCTAACAGCGCTTTACCCCCTAACAAAACTCGCGCACAAAGACAAAGCCCACACGGGGCTGCTGGGGCAAAGTGCTGTTAGCGAGCGCCTATTAAGGCAGCACGAGGGAGTGGGTGGCCAGCACCGCCACCCCCTCTGCCCGGCCGCCTTTGTCTCTTTGTCTATTTGTTTTACACTGCCACCAGGGCTACACATTCAAAGCGCGAGTCTGCCCAGCGGGAAGTCCAGGACCGGCTCAGATAATCGCTGAGCGGGAATCGAACTCGGGTCGCCAGGTTCGTGACTTTTACAACACATCACACATTCACCCATCACGCATTCACCCATCACGCATTCACTCATCACGCATTCACCCATCACGCATTCACTCAACACGCATTCACTCATCACACATTCACTCATCACACATTTACACAACTCGCATTAACTCATCACACATTCAGCCATCACGCATTCACCCATCACACATTCACCCATCACGCATTCACTTATCACGCATTCACGTAACACATTCACTCAATACGCATTCACTCAGTACATTCACACGTAACATGGTTTTCCCCGTGGTCGTGTGGATGTTTTTCTCCACATTTGGAAACATGCGTCCAGATTATTTTGCTGCTATAAATTTCCACATGATGATAAGCAACTATGTTGCGCTATCATTTGTAATGGGCAGATCGCTTCTGACAACTAAGCTAATAGCTCAGTGGACCTTACCAGGTAATAAGATACCTCGGTGAATTTACCGAAAGAACCAAAGAGTATGGATCCCTGCAGTCACGAAAACTCCAAATCTAAGATAAACATAGTTTCGTTTTATTTGTCGATATATATTTTTTATTAATTATTTTATCTTTCCTGTACTTTGCACGCCAATCGTGTTTTTGTAACGTTCTGACCCCGTGCCCCCACCGGACATATGTGAAAAGAGCTTTATAGCTCATTTAATTCCTCCTGTAGTATAAATACAGATGCGACTTCTGGTTACCAGCCCTCGCACATACTCGCATACATATACAAACTCACACATACAACAACCGCCATTCGCCACTAAATGGTGGTATCGTCATTACGGCTCTTGTGCCAGGCTATGTGCACGTTAAGGCCACTGGAAGTGTCGAACGCCTGCTGGCAGGAGGTCAGATCACGGGACAGACCCAGGTGGCATGGGTTGACTGACTGAGAAGACTGGCCGAAGCACCACCTGTGACCACCACTGTACCAATTCGCTGCGTTTTTTTCACCCGGCGCTCCGCTCGTTGTTGTGAGCGTCGCTGCTCTGCCCTCCATTGTTGCTGGAGTGCGACTGCCTTCAACTGCCCAGTAGCGTCCTTCACGAACCTCCTCCACAGAGACCAATCTTGACACCGCGAGTAACAGTCATCGGCAAATCCACTCAGCTCCATGCCCTCTTGTATCACATCGTTCCATCTCTTCTCCAGCCTGTGCCATGTATTTAGCCCCCTCTATGTGGCTGAACAAAAGCTGTTTAGGCATGCGGTGGCTGGCATGCAGGCTACATGACCCAGCCAATGCAGCCTTGCCTGCTGGGGGAGCTCACCGATGGGACTTTGTCCAGAGTTTTCAAAGATTTGTGAGCTCACACAATCCAGCCTGGTTAACCCGAGGATAGATCGCAGGCAGGCCAGCCTGAATGTTTCAAACTAGCGGAAGATGTTTCATTACAGGGGGTTCACGTTTTGCAAGCAGAAAGAAAAGAGGGCATGACCGTGGCCGAGAAGACCCGGAGCTTCGTTTGGAATGACCGATCAGGTAGCTTCCACACAGCGTTACGCAATCGATGAAAAGATAATACCGCTAGATTTATTCGGAGTGAGACCTCTGCTGTCATAAGCACACAACCCAGGTATGGAAAAATTTCCACTCCACAACTGCCCCATCACCAATGGGGAGTTGAGGGAGTGGAGTGTTTGATGGCACAATACCCAGGCAGGTGCTTAGTTTCGGTGGGCCTTAGTAACACGCTGCAGGTCGAGGAACAGCGCCTCCAACTCCTCCTATAATTGAGCAGCAATCACCAACATACATAACATGGTTTACCAATAAGAAGCCATCCCTCGACCGCACCCGAGCATCGATAAGCCTCTCATTGTATCTGTACCAGATGGAGATTCTTCCGGTACAGCTATGGAAGGCTTGTCAAACTACATGGTCGAATTTTTTTTAATAATGTGGGAGCCAGAGAATATCCCTAGCGCATCCCAAAGTGAACACGGAATGGTTCCGACTCCCGGCCACGT